ACAATGGCGGCAACCCGCCTCCATCCCATGGGAGTCCGTCCGGATCCCACAATGGCACGCGGCCAACGTTGAGGTCGCCAACCTTGAGCAGCCCGCCACCGAGTGGTATCGGGAGTTTGCGGCTACCTATGAGAGCTCCCTCAACGGTTTCGTCAGCTCCTTTGGACACAACGAACTACCTCGGCGATGCAAAGGACGTGCCAAATGGTCTGAACCTCATCAGACCAAGCTTACTTCGCATATCCTGAAGTCAAGCCGTCCTGGAGAAGAAGCCATCCTCACCAGCCTTGCCGGTACTGCAGTACGGCAATGGTGCAAACAACTACGACGCCTCCAGAGCTACACGCATGCCACTGCGACACAACCCCGTTCGGCCAACTCGGGATTATACATCGCCCAGCTATGGGGTGCCATCACGAGAAGCTCGGGATTCCGTGGCAGCTTCCACGTCTGGTGGAAAACACGACCAGCACAGCTACAAGGCAGCCCAGTCAGCCTCCCTCTGGATCCACCAGCTCACCAGCAAGCCATTCTCATCTTCCAAGACTTCAGGACCAACTACCGTCAGTTCGAAGCATGGCACGCCAACAAGCGAAGGCAGGCCATCAACCTCAAATTTGAGGAATCCACCGGCGTCCTTTACAACTTCATCAAAGAGGACAAGGCGCCCCCCATCGACACGCTTGCCATTGCTCGGGACTATACCATTTTGGCCGTGGACCCCAGCAACAATTTTGTTCACCTCGACAAGGTCATTTACGTTAAGGGCAGCTCCTCCTGGTCTCTTCATGGAGAGCCAGCTCATGTACAGTTGGAAGCTGCCGACATCGCTCAAGTTGACAGCGATCGGCTCCTCTGTCCAGGAGACACCCTGGAACAAAATGTGTCCGTCACTCACATTGACGACATCCACCATGAGCTCCTCGAACTCTGGTCATCCCGATGGAACACTACTGCGCAATTATCTGAGGCCGAATTCCAGCGCATCGCCAACTTCATTCACGCCTTCATCCCGCGAGGACACTTCCCGTGCGAGCCGATCTCCGTCAACGACTGGGACATTGCACTCAAGAAGTACCGGCCACACACCGCTAAAGGACCGGATGCCTTTGCGCTCAACGACCTTCGCAACATGCACCCTGCCCACAAGGCCAACCTCATCGGATGGCTCAACAGGCTTGAAGAAGGCCAATCAGCCTGGCCAACTCAGGTCCTCCAGGGTACCATCACCCCTGTGGCCAAGACAACAAACTCGAAGCCTGACAGCTACCGGCCCATCACGGTCTACAGCCTCGTATACAGGACGTGGGCGGCCGTAAGGGCCAAAACCATCCTGAAGTCCATCAGCTACCTCCTCAGCAACACCGCCTACGGGTTCATGCCCGAGAAGGAGGCCCTACAGTACGTCTTCGCAATCCAGGCCCTCGTTGAGCTCAGTGCCCAAGCCGATCACGCCTCTGGAGGCGTCTGTGGCTTTGCGGCCGACCTCAAGAGATGCTTCAACAATCTGCGCAGAGAGCCCATCACGCTCATCGCCCAGGCCCTCGGAGTTTCCAACCGGGTCCTCAAGCCGTGGTTGGGCTTCCTCTACGGCAACCAACGCAGATTCACTGTCCGAGGGCACCTCTCAGAGCCGACCAAATCATCGGTTGGCTACCCAGAAGGATGCCCACTAAGCGTCGCTGCCATGACCATGATCGACCTTAGCTTCCACCTCTACATGAAAGCCTTCTGCCCTTCGGTCACGAGCTACAGCTTCGTCGACAACCTCGCAGCGACTGCCACCTCTACACAGGCCTTGGCCAGAGGTTGGTGCACAATGGAGGCCTTCTGCTCCCTCTTCAAGCTTCCGGTTGACTACGACAAGTCATTTGCCTGGGCTTCAGCTCCTGGTGACCGTAAAGCCCTCGAGCTCTTCCCATGCAGGGCGGTTCGTGCTGCCAGAGACCTTGGAGGGACACTTTCCTTTGGTGGGACTCTCAGGAATTCCAGCCTGGTCGAACGATGCCGCGGCCTAGCAGGCCGATGGAATGCCCTCAAGCGAGCCCCAGGCTCGCTAATCAACAAGGCTCGTACGCTGTGGACCTGCTTCTGGCCACGGGCACTTCATGGAATTGTCACATGCAGACTCGGGGACCAGCACATCAAGCAGCTCCGATCGGCGGCGGTTGCAGCCCTTCAACTCAAGTGCGCTGGGGGCAACCCCATCTTGCGCCTCACCCTGGAGTTCCAATGCATGGCCGACCCCGGCTACTACCAGATTGCCACAACGCTCAGGGACTTTAGGCGCCTCTGTCACAAGCAGCCTGCGCATGTTAATGAGTGGGCCCACTTCATGCGCCAATATGACGGGCGCCTCCTTCCTGGTCCATTTTCCAAGCTGATTGAGGTCTGCAGCTCCCTCGGATGGACCATCACCAGCGTGCCCATCATACAGGATCATGATGGGGTCAACTTCAATCTGCTCATGTGTGCCACCAATGAGTTGGATATTCGCCTCAATGACGCGTGGGCTCAGCACATCGCAGGCCAAGTCCAACACCGCAAGTCCATGAACGGCCTACGCGGCTTAGACCTTGCCTGTACTACCAGACGGCGTTCTAAGTATAACCCCTTACAGGCGCGATTGGTTGCAGCAATCTGGGATGGTTCTTTCCGTGCAGTTTGCTACCACGCGAAGTACGACCTGACCAAGGACGCCCAGTGCCCCCGCTGCCACGTGACGGATGATTACCGACACCAAGTTGCAGTCTGCCCGCGTTTCCACTCCTGCCGAGGTGAAGACCAATGGGCAGCGGATATTTGGGATACACTTCCTGAATGTATCAGCCAGCACCTCCTGATACCCAGGAACCCCATGCTGGCTGATATCAAAAAAGCCCTTGGCGACCTACCTGACAGATCCACGGAGTTCCACCTCCTGCCCAACGACCAGGACGTGCAACACGTATTCACAGACGGCTCCTGTTTCGGTCACGCAGACCCACACCTTTCATTAGCAGCTTGGGGCGCAATTTTGCCGGACAGAGGCTGCCTGGCCGCCGGACATCTTGTTGGGATTGTTCAGTCGGTTAATCGTGCAGAGCTCACAGCAGTTATAGCTACGCTCCGTTGGTCGAATCTTTACCGATGCAATATTTGTATTTGGACAGATTCGCAATACGTTTCCGATGGAGCCAACGCCCTGCTCCAAGACCCGGCAGCAACCACGCCCACCGAGAACGCGGACCTCTGGGCCCTTGTCGCCAACCTCATCCAGATTGCAGTCTCAGGCTCTATTTCAGTGCGATGGGTTCCCTCCCACTTGAACGAAGCGGCCTGTGAATCTCCATTTGAGGAATGGGTTGCAAGGGGCAATAACCAGGCGGATGGCGCAGCAGTCGCAGCAAACAAGAACAGATCAGTTCCTTTTGCTGAGCTACATGGTCGTGCTGTTCAGTATTACAACCGCTGGGCGGAAATCTGTAATGCCCTTGAGCGCATATATCTTCGCATTGCCAACCTCACTGGTACGCATGTTGATGAATCGGCTCAAGAAACTGAAGACCCCCCGGAGGCCACCCTGGACACATCCACGCTGTGGCATAGCAGACGCAACTCGTGGACAGACTTCCTGCCCGAGGACTGGGACACTTTTGGTGCATCCAAATTGCCGGAACTGCCCTTGGGATTTGTGAAGCAGTTCCTCACCTGGATCCTCAAGCTGGATGAACAGTGCGCCGACAGCACAGATGTCAGCTACCTTGAATTAGTTTTGCATTTCCAAGAGGGTAATGGCCAGGCTTTTCCAATCGCCACACCCGATGGCGGTTTCCAGGTTGCACATGCAACTACCTTTGCCCGGCCAACTGTAGCCTCTCAACTGCGCATAGCAGCAAGGGTGATTCAAACCTTTGGGCGCCACTTTGCTCTGGAGGGTTTTTTGACCAGTGGCATTGACTCTCTTGTTGGTTTTGGGGTTCACCCTCCTCAAAGGGGCGTTCGAATCGGATGTGGGAAGGACACCCTCCGTGCCATGCGCTCATGTGTGGCTTCCTTTTCAGCGGCCCGACCAATCAGGGTCGCGGCCGATTTAGCTAGGCCGGCTTAAGGCCTGACCGGACCGCCCACTGCACCGCGCTGCTGTGCATGGGCGATTGCGCAAGTGAGAATATGGCACTCCCAAACCCCCATTCGAAATACTCAGCTCCTTAGTTCGTCCTTTGGCGAACTTCGCGAGAAATTATTTTGCGTCTAGAAAACGGTTGAGGGAACAACACGCAAGGTCGAGGACACAAAAAATGGTGATTTCCCTTTGACATGCCTGAAACAGATACCACCCCCAAAAGACACACAAGTCACCAGTTAGGGGAACCAACCGATCGGCCGGGATGCGTGAGGAGCAGGGATTCCCTGTTCTACTTGCTATCCCGATTTACCGTTCATTTGTTTTCGAAGCACCTGTTCTTGCCCCTGTTTCCTACTAAGAGAGAATCAACCTCTGAGGGCTAAAGACTTGGTGCGCGGGGTCGTGAGCGATCCGGAATTTGGGCCGGTGTCTGGAATCGGCACAACCGTACCCCAGTGACAAGCAACCGAAGCGGAAGAAACCTCAGCTCAACTGACTGATCCCACACCGCAAAAAGGCTTCTTTGGTGGCAGGTGATGTAGCCTTTGCATTCTTCGTTCTGGTCAGTTTGTCTGCAAAAAACAGACACTTGGTTTTGCCCGACATCTACAGGTTCAGTGGACAAAGCTGTGGGTTTGCCTTTTTCAGACCCTCGCAGTCGAGCCAGGGTCCGATTTCCGGATGGGACACATGAGTTCCCGTCAAGCGAAGCAATCTGCACGGTCCAAGCAGGCCACGGGAGAATCATGACACTTATGTTCATGAAAACAGCAAAGATGATGAGCACAATATCATACACATAATCGGTAGTTATATAGATGAGAGTCGTCCGAACGGTCCCTGGTTTGAGCTAAGGGGAAGACCTTTGCATCGATTCGGCCTTCCGCTTGAGGCGCCTGCAGGGCAACTTCCTTGGCACGGCCACCACCCACACGCACCAGTGCCTCGGCTCGAGCCATCGCCTTCTTTCTCGGCTTTTGAAAGCGGTCACGGGTACCCTCGCGCGGTTGTTGTTGGGACACATTTTGCATTGTTGCTTAGTGTGGTTTAGTGGTTGAAGTCCAACCACTCAACTGCGAACATTGAAGTGTTTCCCCTTCTAACATCAAGCAAGCTCGTTGCGGCTGGGAACCGCTTTGCCACGTTGGGGTCCCCCTGGTTTGACAAGAGTGGCCCCAGGCGCGCGGTCAGTTTTTCGGGTCTTGTGGAACATGGAACCTTTCGAACCGGAAGCTTGGTCGCTTCTCAAGTCCAAACGCATAGAGCTGACTTTGCCACAGACCACCGGGCGACACCGGAGAAAGCCTTTTCTCTTCGTGCTTATTTCCAACTTGTTGGCCGTTTCAACCCCGTTTACCTTGAAGTTGGCGATGCTTGTAAGGATCAACATGGGGAACCCTGTGACATAACTGTGTTTTTTGTTGTGTGAGGGTCGGCCAGGGATAGGATTAGTCCTCACAGAATTGCGGAAAGATAATTGTTGTGACAAAACACAGGTGTTGGTCCGCGACCGCGTGCCCCTATGATGTGTTGCTTACTTCAGAGAAGCGTTCCAATCACCTCAAGCGAATCATTTCCAACCCAAGTATGTTGGACTCCGAATGGGACAAACATGGGACCTTCCGTTTGGCCCACCTTGTTGCGCCGCTTTTTGGGGAGTCAAACAGAAATGCGAGGCAAAGGCGTCTTCCCCAGAAACCCACCCACCTCTCGTTTACCCGGCCTTAGGATGGACCTCAACATTGGCGTGAACATGGAAATGCCCTCGCAGGCCTGGCCTGCGTGCTCTTAAGCTTTTCCGTGTTAAGGAAAATGTTGAAGACCTGTTCGTTGCCAAGGGGTTTGCCCTTTCGCCAGTTGCTTTCACGTCTTTGTCATGTTGGTTTGGACATCGTTATGACTGATAAACATAGTGGACGCGGAGCCATGCAAGCGGAGGCCAAAACGCTTGTTGCACAAGACGGGGTAGGTGGTTCTCAACAGCCCAATGGAGCTTGTTGTAATTGGAGATATGGGTGTGGCTCAAAATGAAGCAGCTGGGGTTACGTAGGTTTTAGCCTTTGGGCCTTTGCTTCCATATTCGCCAAGGTGCCATTTTGGCTACCATGTTTTGAACCGTCATCTTGCCAGGCGCTTCCACCAAGCGGGATGTTTGGAAGTCGTATCAGAAGCTGGGTTACTTGTTCGTCATTTGGTGTGGCCTCAAAATGAAACAGGAGGGGCAAACCGCAGGTTTTGGTCCATGTTTCCACTTAAACATGGGTAACCCATTTTTGGAGTACCGGTTTTTAGAGCCACAGCCCCTTGATTTTTCAGAGTTGCGGCTCTGGAACTCAGAGACATATGGCAGGTCGATAGCCATGGGGTGGACATATAGTCAAAGCGTGGGCGTCTTTGGGTCTGGGTACCTAACTTGTGGATGGTTATTTCAGCAACACAAGCAACAACAAATGTCTATATACATCAGCTTAGCCACGGATTCACCACACAAGGGATGCAAACCGGGGGCCCTGCCATTCTCCAACAAAGCCTGAGTTGTTTAGCTGTTTTGTTAGACCTTGACGTGGAACATCGGCTTGCTGTCTTAGCTTTGGCCAACTTGGAGAACTTGGCGTGAGGTTTCCTCAACGGCGCTTCGCAGCCCATGGGTTTCGGGAGGTCTCAGGTTGCAGCCAGGTGGCTGCGAAGACCATGAAGCTGCTGACCAACGCCGGCGCGAACGCCCGGACAATCACCGGACAATCAGAGCGCGGTGCCATCCGCGCTGAAGGCCCGTGTTGTTTGGAGCTTCAAACCATGTCAGGTGGTAAGCCAGGGACATGTGTGTTGATTTTTCGGGCCGTACACCGACCTCCAGCGCAAAAGAAGGAGGCTTGGATTACTGGCTTGAGGGTAATAGGAACTTTGGAACTTAGGATCACAACATTATTCATTTGGAAGTGTCTCCTGCACAAGGGAATTCGGATCATCCTCCCGGGTCGCACCCTCCTATTCATTTGCCAGATCGCTCAATCCGGGGCGAACTGTACATTGGAATCTTCAAGCATGCTTTTCATTATCACATCCTTTTCCTCGAAATTGTGCCTGTTTTTTTCCTCCCCGTCGCCTACACGCTACGCTTTTGCCTGCAACACCCTGGTGGACTAGAGGTTCGGGCGCAAGGAGAGTGTCGGCTATCCACAGGTTCTGATTTGGAGCTCTAGGGTGCAACCTTCATGCAGAGGTCGCTTGCTGGACACATGAATCAGCCCCTGTGTGTAGACAGGCCCTTGCAAGACAACTGTCCTACAGCGAATGTGCCAGCTTCCGAGGTACGGAAAGCGGAAGGAGCCCTGCTTTTGGCCTCTTGTGAGAGAGATTTTCTTGGCCTTTCTGCGGCCAAGTGGTTGGGTGATTTTGCCCATTTTCCTTTTTTGCCTACTCCCTTGAAGATCCCAAAAGTTTGGTGGGGAAGCAATATGGGGGGGGTCAGGGAAGGCCTTGTTAGGGTCATGTTTGTCTCATTCGAGGGAAGTAAAGAGGTCGCAGGGGGTATCTATCAGTTGAAGTATTACATACCCTTTTTCCCCAACCCACCAACTTCACAACCGGGACACCCCCCCTTTTAGGTCGAGCTCTTTCGAGGGTACCATTTTGGAAGTTACCAAAAGGAACGCCCTCCATTGTAGGGGTCCTATTTGGTCACAAACACACATGGGTGTGTCTTTTAGGGGACCCCAAAGATAGTTGCTTTCCTTTTGGTTTCCCTGCAAAACCAAGCAAAAGGGGACCAACCCCAGAAGAACGCGCCACGTACCCGTTTACCCACATACGGCGAGCCTCCAAAACCAGAGATCGGAGAGAGCGGTTTCACTACCGAGGCCTGGTGCCAGAGACGCAGGCGATGCTGGATGGGGGGTCCAAGCGCTCCATCTTCGGCCGTGGGCCCCAGGCAGACCTATTTGGGTGGCTCGTTTTTTTTTTGAGGCCACCTTCCTTTTTGGTCGGTGTCAAAGGGAAACCCAAAAGGGAAACCACTATTTTGGGGGTCCCCTAAAGCTGATACCCATTTATGACATCACATGTATCTTCGGATTTTAGACTAGACATTTCTCAGGAGCCCGAAGAATGAAGATTATCTGAAAGCATGGGTGCTCCAACCTCTGCATGCGACGTGCAACTTGGCATGCGGGGGCGTAGGCTTGTCCTCAATGCTGGGTAGGGCTAGTTCCTTAGGTCCCTAGGGTTTTCTGGTTTCCGACCTGCAATACGTATGCAATACGTATGCCTCTCTATTTGTCCTTCTCCTATTCCGTTTTCAAGCCGGGCAAGAACAAAGTTCGGGAAAAAACAGCTCGGAACCCCGGTCTTTGACTTCAAGCCAGGCAAATTGATGCTCATAAAGCCTACCCTCCAAACACACCTCCAAGTCTCTGGTGCTTTTGTCTGTCTTAGTCTCCCCAACCTTCCGCAAGGAGGGTTTGTTGGGGACTGGTGTGACATGGCACGGCACTGAGGCGCCCTGGCGGACTACTTCCGAAAAGACTCCACGCAGGAGCGGGCGCATCGAGCGCTAATTCCCGCGCGCGAGGTGAGAGGTGAGAGGTGTACGACATGGGTCCATCCCTTTGAGACCAGGACGACTTGTACGTTCAACTAGGCAATCTCATCACGGTTTCAACGGGAGTCTAAGATGTATCCTACCTTCAACCAACTTGTAAGCAATTAGGTGATCATGGTGATCTCATCACGCGTTCAACGGGGGGCAGGGCTTCTTGTAACCCTGGCTTCTTACCTACCCATGAAGCGAATGAACATGCGGGTAGGTTGCCATCCATGTGGCACCAGGTGAAACGGATGTTTCGCGACTCAGTACCTGAACAGCAAAACTGGACGTGACTTCTGGGCAAATGGCGATCACGGGCCATGAACCAGCTGCACCCATAGCGGTTCTCCCTATGCGTTAGTGAACTATTGAATGAGTCCGGAGGAGTTGAACTTGCAGTTTGCAGAAGGCCTTTTTAGAAATGGGAATATGGTCGAAAGTGAATATAAAATCACCAAGCTTGATTTGGCAGTGATGTTTTTGAGGGTTTGTAGCAGAGCTGCGGCGGACATTTGTCAGATACCGTGTTACATACTTATGATATTATACCACACGACCTGCTGTTTCGCTACTCATCGCTCGTTACATACTTTCGTTACACACCTCACATTAACAAGACCGCTTGGCTCGTTGCATGCCCCTTCCATACCCCAATGACCCAGACTCCCCGTATTTCCCACGGATGATCTGGCAACTTATGCAGATGCTTTCGCTGAAGAGTCAACTTGCAGAGAGCATATGTGTCCTTTGAGGTTAGTTTGCTTAGGAATAGATGGCACTGGTTCAGGCGAGTTTCATTTAATTTAGCAGGGCCATCTATTTTGCCAAGAGGATTATGGCAGAGAGCTTGGCGTTCAGAAGAAAAGTTGGACAAAGTTGCAGGGCGGGCAAGGATGGATCCCCTTTCTGTGCTATACCTCGAAAGAGCACCTCGTTACATAGTCGTTACCTCGTCACAGACCCAATCCCAAACCCCAGCCAGGGCCAAGGCCCCGAAAAGGCTGGCGCTTGGCTTGCGTTTAGTTGCTTAAATTTCCAGGAGCTGCGGAGGTGCGCGGAGTGCGTATTGCACTTGTACTCAAGAGTTGCGATGTACTACTGCTACTTGTCAAACACTGCTTGCACGTCAACTACCCCTGCGCAACAAGCACCCCCATTACATACCTCCGTAACAAAATTCTTGCCGCGTCGCGCGTTACATACCCTCAAACAAATAATCGCCATTCATGACATTACCAAAATCCACTGTGACAGGCCTTTTTGTCTCAACTCTCTCCCCCATTTAGGCACCCTCAGTGGGCTCAGAAGAGCGGGGCAACAAGAAACTGACACGGGCCCCAGAACAAATCGAACATAACAGAGGAAAGATTTACTAGCCTAAACCACAATTGTCACAACATTGACGAATAATTCACTGCTCCAGTTTTTGTCATCTCCTTTGCTTACCCTAAAGGGAGTTGTGCCAACTGACCCTGGTGCAAGAATCGTGCGATTTTTGAAGAGCCTTTATGTCCTGAGGGTGGCATCAGCGAAGTGGACTGGCCAGGACATGACCGACGATGTGTCTTCCATGATCATGAACAGCGTGCAGCTGGCTTCTCAGTTCCATGATGTCCTTACCATTCGCACGTGAAGCGGAGGAGGCAGTCAGCTGTTTAAATGCAGTCCGCAAGGTTGTGATCGGACTTGGTCCAGTTTGGGTAGTGGGTTTCCGATATTCTGGATTGGGTTTGGACACTTCATTTTGAACAGCCCAGACAGACCCGCTGTTTTGCTATGAGGCATATGCGAAGGAACATCAGGGGCGCATATCAATGGCCCATGAAGGATTCCTGCGGGTCGGCTGCTTGCTCGTTTCGGTTGTGAAATTCCAAGGTTCTAGGGGTGCCTTCCCCATGCTTTCCAGGGATCCGTCTTTTCAGGAAACCATCAAAAACAGATTTGGTTTTGAAAAGAAGGATGGTTGAAAAGAATGGACAAGGAATCAACCCCTAGATACATACCCCCTTTTCCCGCTCAATGTGGTTTGGGGGTGAAAACCATCTATGTTTCGGCTGACCTAGCCAGGTGATGGAGTCAACCCCTCGAAAGGTCTGTGTTGTTTTTAAGGCTTAAAATATTAGTTGGTGGTTTGGAAGTTGGGCTGGGTTTCCCATTTAAAATGGTTCAAATCCACAAGCCGCCCATCTAAATTTTACTCCAACTATCAGCTTCTACGAGCGCGCCGACCTCTGGCCTGAGGATGAAGCTGGACGATGTTCATGCGAGCTACGAGTGACGCTGCCATGTTTTGATGTGGCTGTGGTTGTCAAAACCGTTTTGGGATCCCATTTTGCTTGGTAGGTGAATTCACCACCCATTTTAGAACCTATTTTAGTGGGGATTGGGATGTTCACTGGGGGTACGATTTAGATTTTGAGCCGTGGCCATGTCAATTTACATGTTGAGGTTCACTTGAGCCTCAATCAAAACCCGGGTAGATGAAGGTTAGTAAGGGACAGACCCAGTTTCCTTACATGGTTCTGGGTCAGCAATTTTGTTACCGGGGTTTGATTGTGACTCACTTAACGTGGGGCGACAATCTAAGTATTGGTTCATTTACTCAGGTTTGGGTTGCACTGCCTCCTCCAGCCGGAAGGCAGCCAGCTGACATTTCCTATCGCCTTGGAACTTGAGACACATGCGGCGACTCACTTTCAGAGAAACATGAGAGTGCATCACAAAAACGTCCACAACAAGCAGAGGACCTCCTTTCATAGGTGTCCTTTTTGGTTGATTTGGTTGAAACATAGAGGGCGATTCCTGGTTTCCCTGGTGGTTCAATCAAATACCAGGGAAATCCATCGATTTTCCAACAAAAAGGGCGATGCTTCCTAGCCTTCTCACAGTCCAGCTCTTCACATCGCAACTTTTAAGGTCGACTACTTGACTGCTATTGGGTTGGATCTTTAGACTTTTAGGAGACGGCGCATGGGGCGCGTAAATCTTGACTGCCATTGGGTTGGATCCTTAGACTTTAACTTTTTTGGGGAAATCAGCACCCAACAGTTAAACTTTTCGCAGGGTCAACAGCAACCAAGACTACGCAAATTGAGCAGCGTTGTACTCCAGAGGTTAATAAGTCCAGAGTAACTAATCTGAAGATATGGCTAATCTCAATAGGACCCCCCCCCCTGGAACATGGTTGGTGGACATAAATCCTTTGACTGATGTCTAAAGGATCGCCAAGAAGTCATACATGAGCATATCAGTGAGTCTTTCTGAGGGTACCATTTTGGGATGGTTTTAAAGTTTAAAAGAGAGACCCAAAGGCAAAGAACAACTATGATTAGGGGTTTTCCTATTTTGAATTTTGGTGTGCCCGGAAGAGGGTTCCGTGCCAGGAAGCAGCAGAAGGAACTGCAGCAGGCGTTGGAGAAGTCGCAGGCGGAGGCGCGATATCGTTGGATTGGTTGTCTTTTTTGGAGTTGGTACCCCTTTCTGTTTTATTTTAACAAGGAACCAACAGGAAATTTTTGGGGCTCCCCTAAAAAAGGAGACACCAGAAAAACGGGGTTTGGTTATTAGTTTGGGCACACCCTCTCTTCTTAATTGCTTCGAAGAAGCTCCCAACCCGCGCAATGAAACCGCCCTGCATTTTGCTGTTTTGGACAAAAGCCAGCGGGACAGGTTGCACAAACCAGGTTTTTGTCCCACGCAAATCAGGGGGAATCACCATTTGTCACACACACACACACCAGGAGAAGCTCATAATCTTGTCATGGCCAGACTTGGCTTGCCGTTTTACTCATTTTGTGTCTTATCTTTGTGTTTTTGTTGACAAGACAACTAGATATGGTACCCGGATTCTAGATTTATCATCACTAAAAGGTACCACAACCAGGGTCCTTGGGGACACCTATGTATTCGCAACAAGAACAAAGCAAACAGAGAAGTCATTTGTTCTTTTTCGATATGAATATATATATATATGTTTTATTGTTCTTACCTCTTAAAAACACAACTCTTCAACTTTTCTGGTAACATGGGCTATATGTCTGTAGATTAACTTCCCCAGGGCTTGGAGTTTTAAGGGGTAAGTGTTTGTTTGTTTCTAGCAAAAAGAAAAGAAGCAAAAACAAAAGTAATCCACCGGCAACAGCCGAGGCCTCCAGCTTGGCCGACAAGCTGAAGGAGATCCAGGCGTGGCTCCGGTCGTGTTCCTGTTGGCTTCTCTGGAAAACCAACCAAAAAAACGGGCACCAACTCCCAAGAAAAACGACCCCCAGGCCAAAATCATAGACCAGTTTGGTTGGTTTGAAGTTGGTTTTTATGCTTGGAGGTTTGCCAACTACTCACTCCCTGAGCTCATAGACTTTGAACTTTTGGGAAGGTGGCACACAGAAAGTTCGACTTTCTCTCGCCAGTCCACTCAGGAAGTGAGGCTATGGACCAGAATCAGAAGTAAACCGATCTTGGCCGGGGAGTCGACAGCTAAAGTAGCTGAGTGTTCCTGGGGATCCCTTATGCCACTGTTTTCATGACCGCGGTAACAAGTATGGTTTTTCTATACACCATGCTCAAAGGATGCTGTGACTTGGGGATTTACATAGCAACGGTCATCATGTTTTGTTCAATAAGAAATCTAGACAGCCGTTTTGTGGCTCGGTGAATAGATCCAATTGCACATTGTCAAGTTGGAGTTCGGGACATTTCGGCGAGACTCGTTGATGTCAAATCGAACACCTGGGTAAGTTGTTGTTTGTGGATGCTATTACCCCCGCTGGAAAACTTAGCGTGCGCCACTTGCAATTGCTTGATGTGCGACTCCCCAAATCCCTGATCATTTGCGGATATGCTGTTGAATGTGGATATAGTCATAACATGTTGTACAGCTCATTTTGGGTTGACGATCATCGACCTTTGCCACCGCTAGGTCCCCAGCAGTGCCCTTTTACCTTTTTTTGGGGGAGGGTTCCCCTACTACAACAGACTACAGAAAAAAGAAACGGTACTCTTATTCTAACCTCTCTACTGGAGGACCTAGACCGTGTTGCCCAAGGCAAGGCCCTTTGGGGGCATTGGTCCAAAGCAGCTCGACCTTGGCCGGACCTATTTGGCATTTGATTCCACGACTCTCAAGTCGTGCCGGCTTCCCACCAGCAAACCGATACTACAAGTGACCGGTCAATTCGAACAGGGTTGTGGGGCAATGTAAGACCACAGCAAGTTATGATCATAGGAGACGAATGTGTGCAATTATACGGTATGGTCTTAAACAAGGAAGCACCTCCACTTAAATTATAAATGATGTGAACCTGATTGTCCCCCATCACAACTCACCCCATGTGGGTGTGTCTGTTTGAGGGTACCCTTTGTTTTGGGTTTTCAAAAGAAACGATAACAAACGATTAAACAAAAACACACAAAAACAACAACGAGTTGTTTTTATTCTGTTTTGGGGGGGTGCAAGGGACACCAAATGGAAAACCACCATTTCGGGAGCCACTACGAAAAAACACTCCCCCACTCGCTGTCCGGCCAGGAGCGCGATGAGCAGAACCTGGACAGTCACGCGTGTTTCCTTCCGGTTGCTTAGGTAGCTCAACAGGCAGGCGTCTCAAGTTCCCTTTTGGATCTCTCAAGTTCCCTTCTTGGGATCTCCAAGTGGGGATCGTTTGTGAACCCAGCTTTCTTGCAGCCTTTTGACGTGCTTTGAGGATCCTACGGCTGATTACCCTAATTCAAGTGAACCAGACCGGCACCAGGATAAGTGTGAATGCTTGTTCCCTTGCAGCAACGGAATCAGCGGTATGCTTTGCGGGAAACCTTGGCGTATTTCTGATGCTTGCGCACAGCTGTATTGGCATTGTTTGAGCTGAGCACCTAAAGCATATGACCTGCCAAGGTGGTCCTTTCTGTATTGCCTCGGGCACTTGTTTGAGACCATGCTTTTGGCAAAGTGACATGAAGCAGGGTTGTCCTCTTAGCAAATTGGACAAGCTTATGGATTTGCCCGAAAAATGATACTGGTTTTCTTTTGAGGATATCGAGCTGCTTCCGCTTCCTTTTGTGCTTTTGGGCGGGGAATGTGGGGGAGTGAGCTAGTTCCCCTTGACCAGCTGTCGGGTTTTATCGGGAACAGGTCATCAAAGCTTGGTTGCTGTCATGCAATATTGCGATATTATTGCTATATTGTATGTAGTATATTATATATGATAAGTAATGATGTGTATATATATATATATATGCATACTCAGGAATAGCCCCGCCAACCATTCCCTCCAGTCTGTTATGGTTGGAAGGGGGTCATGCCCATTCCGTACCCAGCGGGAAGACAGCGCACTGAGGTCGAGTGGAGGTCGGCCTTCCGGTTTTCCTTCAACGCATCCTTCCACTTGCTTAAGTTTTTGTTTCCCCTGTTGATTTTGAAGGGACTCTATCGCTACTGGATATATTTTATGGGACTTAAGCAAGTGCAGGCGTTCTCAAAAAAGTTAGAGATCCCCAATAGAGCTGTCTTCTCACGGTTTCTTTGTTTAATGGTGAGTTTGCGTGAGGGTAAAACAAGCTCACCACGATGTAGGTCCTCTACCAGGGGATTGAATGATTAATTCATGTGTTGGAATTATTGTACATCTATGAGCAACTGATGAAATTTGTCGTGGTCTATCTCTTTAGGATGTTCAGTTTTTTTGTACAAATCAGATTTTGATATCCTCGTGCGACGTGCCTTTGCGCAGGATACCTCTTTGAACCAGGAGCCATCGGAAGCGCAGAAGGCAGGCCTACCCCCCAACCGGGTTTTGGGGCCCGATCCTTGGACCTCTGGCTGCCGAGAGGGGGATCACCGGCAGTGTGGAAGATTCGCCTTGGATAGTGTGGATGGTTGCGAAATCCACTTCGCACCACCTCGAAACCATGGGGAAACCATGGTTGGTTGGTATTTACAGGGGAATCAACATTCCAGGGTTTCTTAGGTGGTGCAGGATTTCGTCCATCCACAGTAGTATCTTCAATGGCATCATGTCTCAGGGTATTCGCCAACGTTTGTGGTGGAACGAGCAGGATCGCGCGCGAGCGCAGCTCTGGGTCTGGCAACTCAACTTGATGGTGCAATGGCTTCAAGGAGTCGCCCCAAGACACACCCTTCAGTAGTTGTTTCGTTCCCCAGGAAATGGGTTTGTCTCAGAATGAGAATCCCCAAAATGGTTGACGTCGAATGCACAAGGATTAGCTTAGACCTCACAGCTGTTGGGGAAAACAGTTGCCACACCCACAAGAGAGTACCAAGTCCAACAAAGCCAAACCCATCCAGAAATCGGACTTTGAGCTGAATATATTTTTTGTTTGAGAAAGGTGTACAGAAACGCGGCACCCCGAGACACCCAATTTGGAGGTTGGGCAGATGCCGGAGCATCAGAACGGTCCGGGCCCTGAGCCGCTGGTCCTCTCCAAACATACAAACATTGGCACAAGTGAGTGTGTCTTTCTTGAGAGTGCCCTATTGTGGCTTCAAAGGAAACCAACCACAATTTGTACAACACTTGGGCTTCGACAGCAACCCCCTCACCCTTCCGGAACCCGAATACGCACGGAGCTTTGCCACTCCGGAGCTCTCGGGTCGGCAAAAATATGCAAACTAAAAAGCAGAATCAGTTCGTCTGATTTTCTGTAGCTCCCAAGGCTTGGAAGTCTGTTGGATGATAAATTACAGAGACACCAAGGCGGACGCTGAGGTAGGGTGTCACGGACTCCTCCAACAGAGGCTTTACTCGAATGAGTTAAATTCTTTCCCATGGCCACTGGGCAGCTGAGCCTTTTGCCTCGGATGAAACCAGTGGACTCGCAGGCTTCCAGAGCACCTGTTCCCATGGGCCCGCGGGACTTCAATGGAGAAAAGAGGCAAGCACGGGTTGAGGAGTGCTCTCATGTCAAGGAGTGAAAAGGCTGTGGCTCAAAATGAAGCAGATCTGGGGCAAACCGCAGGTTTTGGTCCATGCTTCCACTTACCAGGGTTTCATTTTGGTACCGGTTTTTTGAGCCACAGCCAAATAGGAAACAACAAGACACCACAGAAGCAAACACCACGAAGATTTCATGGGACCTCCAAAGGGGCAAAGGGGGGGTGCCTTGGATAAGCCCGAATCAGCTAAGGACAAGCCTTCAATAAGGCTTGATGAAGGGGTTTGCCACCATTGGTCCAAGTTGCACACTCTGAAAAGGAGCCGCGCCCCCCATTTGATCGGGTTCTCCAGTAGGTGATTCATACCTGCTTTGGTTTTACGGACAGGGGCAACCATTTTCCGCAAGGCTATAGTGAAAACTGGTAAACAGCGCCTTTGGGGTCAAGGGAAAAGTCCTTGTTAGGGGACTACCTACCATGACCTTACCCCATCTCAACACCCCATGTTTCAATGGAATGTTTAGGAATGCTGTTTGAAGCAACTTGTGTATTTCGAAGCTGCTGTTGGATTTTTATTCCTCTCAAAACGCAATGTTTCAATCCATCAGACATAAGAAACACAAAACAATGTTTCTTGCCGTCATCTCGCCATAAGTTCAGGCAAATCTACGGGCTCTGTCCAAAGGCCACCCGTAAGATCCTAATAGGTTCCGAAAGGTTTGGGCTCCTTTCGCTTCCAACCGGGATGGAGATTCTGATTGGCGACTTCTTTGAACAGCCCATGGCCAAAGAAAATAACCTTACGTAACATCCAGGTCGCTTGTTTGGGTGTTGCCCTGCAAAGCAATCTCATTAGAAAGGATGAAACACCCCTCAAATCAACCAGGGCTTTAATCCTGGTTTCCCATATTAGACAGTGTAAGAAAGTAGGGTATCACCATGTGAATTCCCTTATCCCTTGGCAACATACTGACCAGAACCTTGGGCATGTCTCCGCCGCTTAGGTGATGCGAAGATCGCGGAGCTCACAACCCAGGCATCTCGCGAAGCTGTTCGCTTCAGTCCTAATCCTGGGATGGGCGTGGCGCATTTGTGCGACGCAAAATGCCAAGACACAATTTTGCGTCTTACTTAAAAGGGATCCCGAAAAGAATAAACAATCCATTTTTCAGGTTGCCCTGTTTTCACACAGAAAATTTATCCAAAACAGAGCTTCCAGGCCAGCTATAAAGAACCAGGGCTTCTGAAGCCAGGTTTTCATGTGGGTTCCTGCCGGGTTTTGGGAATGGACCGGAGGGATTCCCTAGGAAACCAAATCGGGGATGGTTTTTGTCGGGCTTCCATTTCTCATTCCCTGATCGAACCAGCAAGTGTTTTGTGGCAAGGAAACCAAAAGGAGCACCACTTTTTTTTGGGGGGGGGTCTGAAAAAAGTCGCTTGGCCAAGTATCTCAAAAACCCACTCGCCCTTACGTAACCCGAAAACGCCCGGAGCCACTCCCTTTACCACTCTGGAGCAGGGTCTGCAAACAGGTGGCCATGGGTCAAAATCCCGTACCCCCAACATCCCAACCCCCACTAAAATGGACTAGAATGGGTGGTGCACCTACCCCAAAATGGTACGGGCAAACTAAAACCAATCAGAATCAGAACATTTGATCTTATTCCCCCGGAAAGGTGTCCTTTGTTCCTGTTTTAAGGTCGTTTTTTTCCGAGTTCGATGCTTGACTCGATCCGGTCCGCGAGGTGAGGGATCTGGAGGCGGCGCTCCAGCGGCACTGCGCGGAGCTGGAGGCGAGGGATGGATCAACTCGAGCCAATTTTCGGGCCGCCGGTACCGCCGACTTCGCCCGCGGTGAGCTATGGGTGTTTGATGGACTTGCGGCACCTGCGGCACCTGCATCGGACATGCGGGGGCCATCAAGCCTGCAGGTGCGCAAACCTGCTATTTCTTTGTTTTGCGCAGGTTGCATGAGCTGGGCGAAGCAGAAGTCAACGGAGCCATTTTCATTGAGAAACATGTTTTATCCCAAAGTACATCAGATGATGGGAGGCAGCTTGAAACTTACGGAGTGTTGCCGTTTTAATTTTCCTGAAAAACGGAACGGGCTACCCCAATAGCGAGGATGTTGAAGCTCAGGCAAAAAATGAGAGTTTTCTTCATCACGATGCTAATGCAAAGGATGCTATGATGACGGTTATCATCATCCAGATGGTAATGCTAAGGATGCTATGAGGAAAGTTATTTCTTAAAAAATCATTTCAGAACTGACGTTGGACACTGATGGTAATGCTAAGGATGCTATGATGATAGTCATCTCTCCTGCATCAAACGCCAGTTCTGACATGTATCAAGAAAACCAAGAGATGATGAGTGCAGAGATGATGATGACCACCATGATGATGATAACTATCATCGTAGCATAGCATCCTCAGCAACGCCATCTGGATGATGATAACTATCATCATAGCATCCTTTGCATTGCCATCGTGAAGATGAGAACTATCTTCATAGCACCCCTAGCATTTCCAGCAGTCCGTCATGATGATGATAACTATCGTGGGGATGGCTGTACAACTATCGTTATAGCATCCTTAGCATTACCATCAATGTCTAACGTCAGTTCTGAAATGCATATCAAGAAATGATGATCGTGGAGATGGTAATGATGATGACCATCATGATGATAATGGCATGATGATGATAACTATCATCATAGCATCCTTTTCATTACCATCATGAGCATGATAACTATCATTCTCGTACCCTTCCCGTGCGCAAGGGGTCGGCGGATTCATATGGTTTCCGTTCAAAAAGCCGGCTCTGGAGCTATGGAGCTATGGAGCTATGGAGCTAAGGAGCTAAGGAGCTATGGAGCTGTGGAGCTATGGAGCAATGGAGCTATCGAGCTAAGGAGCTATGGAGCTAAGGAATGGCCGATTTACGCTACGAATCTTGGAGCCAACATGTTGACAACCAGCCATATGAGGTTCGGTCAACACTCCCAGTAGTCCATAGTCAATTCGGACACAAGGTTCCGCTAGGGGCGAGCGTCACCAAGTGTCCAATGTCCATGACGGACAACCAGACAATACTTCGCTGGTAGCATCCATGACACCCCCAAAAATACCGGAGACGAATCAAATCCGCTGACGAATTGTTTGAAGTTCATGTGAATTTCCCTAAAGGGGTGCGTTCCCTCATGCGGAGACAAGGTTTGTTACTGGGTTTGGTTGAGACCCCTCTCATCCACTGATTCTTCCAAGTTGTGCCAGTTGCAAGCCCTTGCGTTTGCAATCAGGACAAGGCTCATTATGTGTTGCGTTTTCTTCAGCGTCGCTTCGAGCATTTCAATGATGACCAAACCTCAAAGCTGGGAATTGGTTTGGTTTCCTTTGGTTTCTCCTGATGTTCATGTTTCTACCTTGCAAGGTCGATGGATCAACTCGACACGTGGACCATGGCAACAAAGCCCCCCAGAGATCATAGGGCATGGCTACAACTTGCTCAATTAGGATCCGCTTTGTTGTGTATCTTTTCTGTGAGCAAACTGAGGCTGCATGAACTGTTCCTGCGGCTCCCCAGTGACAGCAACCCCCACCAAACTTCCCTGCTCGATGAATCGTTGTTTTTGTGCCCAACTATTTGGGTGTGCTTGTTGTGGTGGGTTTGGGGGCTTGTATTAATAGTAGATTTGCCCCCACACTGACCAGCTTTCCTTTTGGTTTTCCTTTCACCCAACCATACAAAAGGGAACCCTCAAAACGACACACCCGTTTTAGACGTAGATCCGAGTCTCCAGATCTCACTGCGAGCCAAGCGCGCAGGTGATTCACACGCAGGCGGCCAAGGATGGTGCCTGTGTCGGTGGGTGGCCCACTCGCCCCCTTTGGGGTCTCCTCCCAGATGATTTTCAATGTGTAGATACAATTTTTTACATGTCCCTTGCGCAAATAAACCTTCAAAAGGCCTGCTGATGTTCATACCCCTCGAAGGGTGTATACCCGTACGAAAGCGGGTTGGAAACCAGAAGCCAAGGAGTATGAACAAGGGGTATGTACTTCCACCCTTAGATTTCAGAGTTGACGAAAATTCAATCAGAAACCAAACATATGACTTGGTGTCCATTTTGCAAAGCACGTTCTTTGGGGTACTATTGTTTGTAGTTTGGCCCTTAGTCGGCAGTTGGACTGCACACCCCCGAAGGGTAATGACAGTGCACCGCAATACCAGACAACCGAGCGACGGACAGACAGCCAAGCGGCAGAAGCGGGGGGTAGCTCGAATAATCTTGGTAACACAATATGTGCTTCACTTGTTGTTGGCAAGTTGTCAAGTATATATGCCAACTATGGCGACTTTCTGGGGCGAGTGGCTCAAGCTCCCATTTGGCAGCGTGACGTGTACCACATCCTCCTTTGCGCTCAAACAAGAATGCCTCTCCAAACCAAGTGACAGCAGTTTCATCCAAGCTGAGCAAGTCAAGTGTCATGTGACAGCAATATATATATATATATATGTAAGTTGTCAAGTATATATATATATATACATATAACATATGTGGAGATAGGTCCGGACCACAAGCTCAGGCGTTCCACTGCAAGGGCTTGTCGACTGCAGCTGGGATAAATGGATCAGGAGAGTCAAGCAAGCCCAAAGCAGGCCAAGATTTCGACGAAAAGTCTTTGATACAACTCAACCAGGTTTTCAACTAAACAACCCAAGCTAGAAATCTCAAATGTTCCAGAAGTAGCGTGTTGTGGGCAAGGCTTGTCCTTCTGAGACTACGGCATTGCTTCATTGGGAGTCTACGTGGATGCCTAAAAGTGACAGATGTGTTTGCTGTGTCGAACCGTTGACCCGAACACTTGCTGAAAGGACCTTTCTGTATTGTGGGCTACTTGAACCCAAAAAGCTGAAGGAGATTCTTGAAAGAACGATATTGTTCTGCAGGAATGTGGGTATGTGTCGGAATCCGGGTTTTAAACTTTGGTTTCCCTTCAAACGAAGCTTGCAGCTTGGTGGTTCCCAGCCGTCTGGTTTTTTAGGTCTTTAGTTGTTTTTAGCTGGTTTAGAGGGGAGTTTCATTGAACCCAATAAAAGGTAAACATTTAGCCGGTGATCAGTTTGGACAGCCCAGGTAGGGTTCTGTTTGCTTTTGAGGGCAATAATTCCTTGCGAGGACTCGGCCGCGCGGGGGCATGTGGAGAACGCGTTGCAGGAGGCCTGAGTGAACTGTGCCAAGGGCGATGCTTCCAGACAACCCCCAAGGGTTGGGGCCCCAAGGGTTGGGGCCTCCAAATCTGGCCAAATCTAGCCAAATAAGTCCTTGATATGTGGGGGAAGTCCTTTCAACAATTGTAGGAATCCTGAAATATGGCCCAAAGGACGCTTGAGCAGTCCGTCACTTCGGCCAGCACCGACTCCAGGATCGAGCACCTGAACTTGTCCAGAGCTCTGAAGTGGTGGTCTTGTTTCGAGCATTTGTTGCGGAGGGTGGGCATCCACTGGTCTGGGAGAGGGTAGCTAGAGTCCGGCATAGCCAGGCCCAGCAAAAGCTGCAGGCCGGGGGCTTCAGGTGCGATTCAGGGGCAGAGCCCGCCAAGCGAAAAAAGCGGACACGCCTCTCCTCAGCGCAAAGCGCAGACTTGCTGAGAAGTTGGGCACAGCCATAAGAGTGGCAAGACCTGGGATAATTTCAAGGCTCTTTCAACAGGTGCTCCACAGAAAGCTGAGTTGCTTGCTGGGCTGGGTTGTTATGACCTTCATACTTCAAAAGCCCAAGTCTCAGAATACTTTCGCGCAACTTCCTCCCAGCATTTGTTCCAGAGCAAACTAGACTTATAGTTGCCAGCTGCTGTTTTCGCAGCCTTGCTTTGCCAACAAACATGGACGTGCGCGCCTGCCGGCCCGTTTGCACGCATGATGCATGCATACATGCATGTGCGCGCAACACGAGCCGACGCGACGCGACACGACACGACACGACACCACACACCACACCACACATCACACCACTTTGCTCCTCTCCACTCCACTATCCCACCCCACCCTATCCCACATACAGTATGACTACATTGAATTGCATTACATTACATAACCTCACATATGTATATATATATATATATATACACATTACATTGCACTACATGCCAGTACCTTGCATTGCGTACATACATTAATTCCATGCATACAGACACAAACAGACATACATACATGCGTACAGACATACATACATCCATACATACATACGCACATACGCACATACATACGTACATTACATTACCTTGCATGACATTGTATTACACCACACTACATTGCATTACCATTCATACAGACACTACATCGCGTTACTTTACATTCCTTACCTACCTACAGGGATACATGCATACATACAGACAGACAGACATACATTAGCTACATACATGCATGCGAACATACATACTTTTGTACTTTCATTAAAGTACATTGCGTTGCGTTACGTTACATACATTGCACCACATTACTACGACACTATATTGCAGTATCTTACGTTGCACTACATTGCGTCACATGACACACACATAAACAAATACACACTTGCAGATACACACGCACATACATATACACACATATACATATACATACATATACATACCCATGCATACATAAACATATGTATACATACATATACATACATATGCATACGCCTACATACATGTACATACATGTACATACATACATGCACACATACGCACATGCACACAAGCACACGTACATTGGTTACGTGCTTGCAGCACATTCCATCGATCCTGCGAGCTGCGAGCCGAGGCGGCGGAGCAGGAGGCGCAGGCCAAGCACTCGGAGCTCAGCGAGCTGAAGACGGGCCTCGGGCCTCGGACCGGCGGCGTCGAAGGGTTTTTTGGTTGCGAGGGCTGGTAGCGTTTTGGACAAATCAAAATAGGCTGAAAAGGTTTGAGCGCTGAGCTGAAAAGGTTTGAGCTGAGCTGAAAAGGTTTGAGCGCTGAAAAGGCTTTGGACAAAACATCCAGGATGATTGAACTGAGCTGAAAAGGTTTGACACGAAAAAAACACCTCGTCGTTTGTTTGAGCTGGTAGGTTTTGGACAAAATCTGGCGGGTGAGCTGGAAAGGTTTGAGCGCTGAAAAGTATTGAGCGCTGAAAAGGTTTGACCCGAAAAACCTGGCCTGATGATATGTTGCAAACCTTTTGCTTGCTGGTGCGATAGGGAACGAGTTGGAATGAACCCAGGCTTCGGTGCCCTTTAAAAGAGACCACCAGTTGGATGGTCTACAAGGGTCATTCCATTTCTCATTCCCTGCCTATCGCACCAGCAAGTCTTGCAGGTGCGATAGCGAATGACCGTTCCGGGTGTTGCCCTTAAAGGAAACCAGTGGGGGATGGTGTGGAAGGGTCATTCCCTCCTTCCCTGCTGAGAACCCACAAGTTTTTTTTAGGTGTCCAAGAACCAAACATATGTTTGAGCATACCCCAAGCCCCAAATGAGACGATTTATGGGAGGGTTGGGGTATGCTCAAAAGGTGTGTTAGAAAGTTCTTGGAAGGTGATTTAGAGCGACGCCAAAATGATTTGCCATTTGGTGGCCCCCAAAGAAAAAGGCGGGCCCCCTTTTGTTTTAGCCTTTTGGTTTTAAATGTTGTCCGGCAAATTGTTTACACATGTTTTCCCCAAGTTGATTTGTTCCAAGTTCTTCAAACCGACCTTGTACCCTTAAACGATTTTCCCTTTTTGGTCCTTGACTAAGGTTGACCTTTGGACCTTGGGCCAAGTGTGCTGTTTGTAGGGCCCATTGACTACATGCGAAAGCGGATCTGAAAACATATGATTCGGGCGGTTTCAAGCTTAGGGTTCCGGTTCTCTAGAGTCTTTGGGCGTTGAGACGGGCTGAGTTTAGCGGACTGCTTCAGTGTCAAGCATCCCCATGGGAATTGTTGCTTGTTCAGGTGGCATACTTCATGTTTTGGTTTACCACCTATGTTCGGCATTTTTAAAAGCAAAAGGCTGGATTCTCTTGGGACAGTCGGACAGTCACGTGAGCAAGTCAATGATATGTGCTGTTTTAGACTACCTTTTCGTGAGAAACAAGCCACAGGCTAGCATTGGAGGAATCCTTGCGCGGTTCTCGGTCCAATGGTTCGAAGAATCCCCGGTTGGTGCTTACAAGGTAGCAGGTGTTGTTTGTTTGTCACTGGGTTTAGATGTTGGTTCTCGAAAGCTACCTGCCTAACGGGGAAGCACCGAGATTTGAATCTTTCTCAAGCTGGCTGTGAATCTTTGTTTGACCACCTAGGAAACGCTTTGCCTTGCTCATCTTGTGAGTCCTGATCCGGGTTTGTCTCAACATGGTGGAGCCTTTCTTAGCTTCCAAACCACAAGGAAACCAGTAATACTATAAACCTTTCAGCACTCGTTTCCGAACAGTCTGGCAAATCAAGAAGGGAACTACAACTTTTCCCACCGAAGTAGTCAGTCAGCATGTGGATGGCTCTGGGCGAGGGCATCGGCGGTTCGCTCCGCTGCGAGGCCACGCCCGGATCTCCGGTGAGCTGGAGTCTTTGAAAGCCCTGCCGCGAGGGGCTCAGTGAGATCCGTTTGCCTTGGGCGGCACATGGCGAAAACAATGCGCAGGTGTACCCTTGGGCACATACCTTTCGCCGGTCCATCCCTGGATGAATGAATTGTTGGTTGGCTGGTTGACTGGCTGGCTGGCTGGCTGGCTGGTTGGCTGGCTGGTTGGTTGCTGGGTTGGTTGGTTGGTTGGTTGGTTGGTTGGTTGGTTGGTTGCCTGCCTGCCTGCCTGCCTGCCTGCCTGCCTGCCTGCCTGCCTGCCTGTCTGGCTGCTTGCCTGCCTGCTTGCCTGCCTGCTTGCTTTGTTGGTTGGTTGCTTGGTTGGATTCCTTGAATCTCTACTTGGCGGTTCCCGAACAAACCGAAAGCACCTGCTCCACTGCGGCCTGTTCGGTCTCGGAAGCCTTCAGGATTGAATTCCGAAAATCTCTTCGGCATTTGGGCTTGGTCCGGGCGTGTTTTTTTTCTTCTTCGTGGACCCCAAAATGCAAAATGGTGGGGTTTCTCTTTGGCTTCCCTTCAAATCCACAAGAAAAAGGTACCCTAAAATACTCCAAGACAGACCGGGAAACCGTATACTTGGGATTTCCCCTAAAGGGAGCCTTTTGCAGGTAGACTGGTTTCTCGCTGACCCCACGCCCGTCGCATCATTTTAGGCCACCGCTGGACGCAGAGGAGGCCTGTGCTCCTTTGGGCCATGTCAGAACGCACCTCAATCAGGATGGGACCCTTTTTGGGCTGGACAGACCAAATCGCCCAAGACAAAATCCCCCACAAGGCTTCAAACAGAACCCTTCGATTAGAACCCCTTTCGATCAGTATCTTAGAATCTTGGGGTTGCAGCGGTTTTCCCCCTCACAAAGACTATCTTGTTGGAAAACTGTGGCATGTAAAAGTGTAGGTATGGTCCCAAAAAAGGCTTTGGCCAGACAGGACCGCTGAGACCACCCAACTCATGAAGCGTTTTTTTTTTGTTTCAGTCCACCTGGGCCTGTTGTGTTTCCGGCTTCATTGGGTGACTGGTAACTTTTCACCAGCCCAGTTTCAGTTGTTCCAATCCCCACCTACCAAAGACTGTTTCCAATGCTTGAAATAGGGCTGCCTCAAGCAAAGGATCTTTACCATGGTGAGCTCGTTGTACTTTTTGGGCGAGCTCGCCATAACTTCGGCAGACCCATTTTCCCAAAAACTTAACGCATTTTCTGAGAGAATGAGGAGGGCTCAAAGAGCCAGGCCGTGTGCAGTGGGCGGTAAGCCAAGAAGCACCTTGCACTCATTCGTGTTGGTTTCGTCCGTAACAAAATGCAGAGTGGTCTCGAAAGAGAAAAGCGTCCCGAAATGTTCTTCTGGGTTTTAAATATCATCAGGGGCCAATCTTTTGGGGTGATGGCCAAAACCTTTCATTTGCAGAATATGTGTCATGTCCATTGGTTTTAAAGGGAATCTATCACTTTTGGATATATGTCATTCTTCCACGTGGGACGTATTCGCAAATGGAAGAAAGGGAAATGCCACGGTGGTATGGATTGGAATTTCTGGAACCGTCCGGAACCCTCCCTGAAGGCTGCTCCAAACCACCCCAGAGCCCCTATCTTGGGCAGACACCAGCTTTCAGCTCTTAATAACTTCATTTATCGAATTATGTCGACAAATAATCACCAGCACAGCCAGTTGCTCCCCTGAAAAACGCCCACTGCGGTCAAAATGACCCAAATCCGACTCCTGTGGCAGATCCTTTCTTTTCCATCCGCGAGGTGCGTGCAGAGCTGCAGGCGAGCCAGAGGCAGTCCGGGGCCCGGCTGCGACGGAGTTTCTTGGCGGATGGTTCGCAAGCCATTTCCGCTTATAAGGAACCTCCAAGGGTGGAAGGTTTCCACCACCAGTAAGTTGATCAACTCTTGATTGGCGAAATCCAGTCTGGTTCAGGAGGTTTCAGGTGGTTTAAGGATGGCTAAGGTGGCTTTCCCAACAACTAAGATGAAACCTGACTTGCGGCTCGTGGACCATTTGCTTACCACTGGGTTCCACACTTCTTGGCGAGGATGTGTTGAGATGTTTTAAGATGGTTCCAGGTTTACCCTTTCACCAAACATGGAAATGCACAGAGCTCTTTTGCAGGTCGACTTTCCAGAAGGAAAGTAGCCTGTGCACGTTCATGCTTGTTGGCGGGAGGGTAGGGGGTTAACTTTCACGACTAGAGATGGCTGAAAGGGCCGGGATTCTCACTCCCTGAGTAGCTTTTTGGAAAGACCATTTTAGTGTCAAACAAAATGTTTGGACTCTTTTTGGCCCAATTGAGGATTTGGACTCTGGCCACTTTTGTTGTTGTGGGGAGTTTGATTGAAACGACAGTTGGGGATCGATTGAAGAGGAAGTTGTTCTTCCAGGCACTACCCTACGGGTGCTACTGTGGATGGACGAAATCCATTTTGCACCACCTAAGAAACCATCTTTGAAACCATGGTTTACTGGTATTTACAGGGTTTCTCAGGTGGTGCGACCGGATTTCGTCCATCCACAGTATGGTAGTTGGAGGAAGTGAGGAAGTGTGGAATCACAGCTTTAGAGGGAAGCACGGGTTTGCTTCAGCAAAAATGGGGGGGGGGGGGGTGTTTTTGGTGGATGGTGGATGGTGTACAGAGCATGCATGTGGTTGTGTCAAACATGGATTGTTGTCCTGTTCGATTCAAAGATAGACGATTCCTGGTTTTGCCGATTGTTGGATCGAAAGGTTGACCCTCAAAGATTCATCGACAAAACCCCCAGCTGCGAAGTGTTGCCGGCTTGGGAACAACATACCCAAAATAGGGGGGACCCTACAAGTTGACCTTTCTCTTGGTTTCCCCTCGAACCAACCTGAAAAGGCTACCCTCAACAGAAAGACACGCCCACGTAGTTGAAGGGCATGGAAATTCAACCTTTGAATTCAAGCCAGATGGTGCAAGTTAGGCCGACCGACCATTTTCTGAGGGCGGAATCGAGGGAATAGCTGAGACAAGATGTCAAACACTTCCGCGGGCCCTTTTACTTCTGGGCATACACACACACACGAGTTTGCAGGCAGAAGATGGGGGTGGATGTTCAGCAAGTTCCCATGTCACTTGGGAACACAATGAGGATTGCCCGTGCCTCTCTGCTAGCAACGCTGGGACTTCGCCGGGTTTTGCCACGTTTCGACCGCTTCGTTTGCGCTTCGTTTGCTGCAAAACGGGAGCCCCTTTCGGATAGCACGAGCACCCTCCAAGCCACTCAAGCAAAAAACATGAGGTGTGGAAGTGATATATATATATAATATATATATATACCCGATTTTTTCTGGGTGCCAAGAATAGCACGTGTTTTTTCCGCCTCAGCGACAGCTGAGGGGTTCCGCCGCTGAGTTTGGGCAGACCCTGTGGCAGGGTGGGGGGTGGCACAAGCCAAGTCTAAGGGTTGCTGGCTCTAGCACCCAGGATGGGGTCAGTTTCCAAAGTCAGGGACCCGCAAAAACTGTAAAATGCTTAGGGTTTCACTTGGTTGCCCACAAGACGCCATCCCTGAATGTATCCATGTCTGAAGGAAATTTCAGCAATTGCCAACCGGAAGCCAGTCAGAAGCCCGGTACTGTAAGCAGCACACCAGTTTAATTTGGGTGTTTCCAACAATGACGAACCCTTCAACAAAACGATTGACAAAGAGTCCCTCAAACCGGAGGGAAAACATCCAAGCACTCAGTGTGTTTTCCAAACAGTCATGGGTTCTTCCTGGTTGCACGAGAAACCACCTATACATATGACATGTACACATACAGCATAGCATATACAAACAAAACACTCTTGGTTTTCCTGTTGGTCTCCCCGTAAATTCTCCTGGACGGAATGCTGCACCACCGAAGAATCCCTGGAATGATGACTCCCGTGTAAATACCAACACTGGTTTTAACCATGGTTTCTTAGGTGGTGCAAAACTTCGTCCATCCACAGTCCCAAATCCCAGAAGCGGGTGTCTTTTTTGAGGGGACCCCCCTCCAAAATTGCGGTTTTCCTTTGGGCTCCTTTTGGTTTCCCTTAACCTCCTCCCCCCCCCAAAGAAAAAAAGGACAAGAAAGGATGAAAAAACAAATTTGTTTGGAGAAAAACGCCGATGCCCTGAACAAAAGGCAGCACCACATGCCCCAAATCCGGGTGCTCCTCCCTCGATCCCTCGATTCTTCGATCCTTCGAGGTGCGAAGGGCTTCAGCAGAAGCTGACCTTGACGGAGGCCATGTGCCGTGACGCCACCCGCCGGGCAGAGGAGCCGGCGCCGAGTTGGGGCGGTTGGAGCCGGAGCTTGGAGCAGTTGCAACCAGAAGTGGGACTGTTTGTTTAGGTTTTGTTGGCCCTTTTGGGAGGAGCATTTCCTATTTTCCTTTTTTGTTTGTTCAACTTGTTTGGCTTGTTCCCACTTGTTCAACTAGTTTTTGCGCCCGTTTTCGTTCGTGCCAAACCACTAACTATTCCGAAACAAAATGAAAAACACAAAGCAGACAAACTGAGAGTACCATGATGCCAAGGAAACGTTCCAAGATAACGTGGTGGGATGGGTGTCCGACTTGGGTATCACAGAGGAAACACGGAACGGACCCGCCGCCCGCCCGTTTTTGGAAGATCCAAGGTCCGTCAGCCAGCGAGAAGAGACCCCATGTCCCAATTGTGCCCGACCTAGGGAATCCACCCCAGATAAACATGGGGTAACCCACAGCCTGCTTATGAGTCAGAGAGTGTCCCTCGTATCCAAGTCGGGTATGGATTTCCGTTCTGTCCAAGGGCGCGTCGAAGTCCGCGAACCCGCTTCACGTCTCGAACTGATCTTCCGGCTGCTGGTCCTGCTTTGCTTTTAATTCTGATTGCGGATACCCCAAGGGCCCAAGTACCTGGGCGGGGGGGGCGGGGGGGGCGGGGGGGAGGTAATAGTTTTCTCGTTTTTAACGCTCCACAGGCCATGGACGGGTACCAAGGGTCGGGTGGTTTCTCCTGGTTTTCGCAGGGCTTCATCCATCCCAACTGCTGCCGATTGGCGTGGATTTTTCAGGGGTCAACATGTCTGGATTAACGCGCGCGTTAACATTTGGGTGTTTGTTTCGGGGCATCCTAAAACCATTTAAGAGGCTCCCTTATTTTAGCACACAGTGACACACACACACACACACACGCACGCACGCACGCACGCACGCACGCACGCACGCACGCACGCACGCACGCACGCACGCACGCACGCACGCACGCACGCACGCACGCACGCACGCACGCACGCACGCACGCACGCACGCACGCACGCACGCACGCACGCACGCACGCACGCACGCACGCACGCACGCACGCACGCACGCACGCACGCACGCACGCACGCACGCACGCACGCACGCACGCACGCACGCACGCACGCACGCACGCACGCACGCACGCACGCACGCACGCACGCACGCACGCACGCACGCACGCACGCACGCACGCACGCACGCACGCACGCACGCACGCACGCACGCACGCACGCACGCACGCACGCACGCACGCACGCACGCACGCACGCACGCACGCACGCACGCACGCACGCACGCACGCACGCACGCACGCACGCACGCACGCACGCACGCACGCACGCACGCACGCACGCACGCACGCACGCACGCACGCACGCACGCACGCACGCACGCACGCACGCACGCACGCACGCACGCACGCACGCACGCACGCACGCACGCACGCACGCACGCACGCACGCACGCACGCACGCACGCACGCACGCACGCACGCACGCACGCACGCACGCACGCACGCACGCACGCACGCACGCACGCACGCACGCACGCACGCACGCACGCACGCACGCACGCACGCACGCACGCACGCACGCACGCACGCACGCACGCACGCACGCACGCACGCACGCACGCACGCACGCACGCACGCACGCACGCACGCACGCACGCACGCACGCACGCACGCACGCACATCACTTCTATCCGGAATCAAAACGGGGTTACCAAGACAGGGGCTCCATCCCCACGAAATGGTAATTTTCCTTTGTCATTTGGACACAACAACAAAACAGGGACCAACTCCAAAGACAGACGCGCCACCCATTCAGTATTGTTTCACACATGGCTTCGCTTTTCTTTTGGCATGTCACACTAGGACAACCGTTGTTTCATGATCCACTATATTTATATATACTTGTCACATAGGGGTAGGGATTTATATGGGCGTGTCTCTCTTTTGCGGACCGCCAAAGTGGGGTGGGTGTTCCTTTTGGTTGCCCTTTACCAGGAAAAAAGGGAGGTGCCATCTCGAGCAAAAGACGAGCCACCCACTATACATAGACGATGTACAAGTATGATATATAAAATATAATCCTGTAATAGCTATGTGTATACACATATGTAAGCTCACCGCTATATTATTATGGTCACCCCCCCCATAATCTACATGTGCATGCGTCACTAGTGAGCACATGAGTCTCATCCATGAAGCTTTTTCTTCGTATGTTCATCTGTTTTCCAGGAGTTGATTCCCCATTCTTTTCAACCATCGTTCTTTTCAAAAACTATGCATTTTCCCTGGGTGTGCGGAGGTTTTCTAGAAAGATTCGGATCCTTGGAAAGAATGAGCAAGGTGCGCCTAGATGTCTAGCCGAATGTCAGCCCCTTTTCTGCGCACTCTCCCGGTGGAGAATGTCCGGCTTCTGAACGCCGTGTGTGAGTGCCCTGGGCCACCGAGCCCAAGACGGAACTTTGGAGTCAGGCTCCGCAGCATATGAGCAAGCAGCTCTGCTTCGATTTGTCTGGCAAACCGAAAACAAAGAGGCAACAAGATCATCAAAGACAGGCGAATGTAAGGCTGCGAGGTCTTCTCTTCAATGATATCCACTTCAAAGTGGAGCAGCAAGGGGAGACAATTTGGCGGCCAGACGAGCTGAGTCAATTAGTCAGGACTGGCTAAAACGCTGCTTTTCTTCTACAAAGCGGTGCTTTTTGAGACAAAAGCAGATGGTGCCTGCTTAGGGGGTGAGAGCGCACCCTTCTTTCCTAAGTGACAGTCTTGTGCCCACGCCTGCAACTGTGCCGACATGGCCGGAAAATGAAGAAGTGAAGCTCTGCATACATGTGCTCTGCACTATTTTGGCATTTATTTTGCTTTAAACCAAACATTTACTTCGTGTCGATATAAGATATATCCGTATGTTCAGGCCTCAGGCTTTAAATCCTGTAACTAACTCAAATTCAATCACCACTGGGGTGCAGTTTTTGGGTGGTTTTTGAAAGAATTAACGGTGCTCATGTAAAAACATCAAATTAGCCCCAAGAATTTCATTTGAGGCCCCCGGATTAAATCCTGCAAAACAGCTAAATTGATTTCAAGAATTTAGAATCTGGAGGCCTCAAGAATTGAATTCTTTAGGCTTTAGGTTCTTTACATTCAAGTGCTGCCGAGATCCACTTTCGGGAGAATCACAGAATGTTTTTGACTCCTTTCTAATTCTTCAGAACCCTCAGTCTCCTAGCATGATCAGTGTAAATAGCAAATTCAGACCCTCTTGTGCTTAAGCCGCAGTGAGAATTCAGCGTATTAGCTCATTAGTTTGGGTGTGCGAACACAAGCAACGTGTAGCTTGCAAGGCCCCAGACATCCTCTCGATTGCTGCAATAGTTGAAGCGATCAGATTGCATAACTAGACGATTGTTGACAGAGCCCTCAAAATGTCATCAACAAATGTAGGTATGTCCAGCACAAATAGGGCTGTCCTCCCTCTGTGTTTGATTGATGCCTGCCATCATTGTTGTTGCGCATCAGGAGGCCCGAGCTGCCATGGCTGCCGGCCCTTTTCCCAATTCCTCAGGAAGCCGAGCTTCCTTCCCCATCTGCCTGCCATTGCTTGTGGTGGTTCTTCTTTGAGTAGCTTTTTGAGGTCGGAGCCCAGACACTCCGCAGAGCGCCTTGCCACAAGAGTCTTCGGTTTGCTTGGGCGCCGTTGCCTGCGAGTGACCACGGTTTCCAGATCACTTTTGCACTTAGTGGCTGTGCGCTTGCGAGTTTTGAGAGATCCAAGATGACTATCATTCGGATTCTGTTGACAACAGCTGCAGCACCGACAAAGCTGAGTGGCTTTCACACCTGTGGGCCAGATGGGCGGCAGCACTCAGCCGGGCGCCGCAGACGCCGTTGCTGGCGCCCTGGCGTTGGTGCTCGCCGCTCTCGTGCTCTGCAAGGCAGGGTGAATCGGGATGTGAGACTGCGTTACATGGCTGTTCTTCAGCAACGTGCGCGCTTCATGCTTGACACAGGCGGTCCATCACAGCACGCCCAGCTGATGGAGCCCAACTACACGACAAATGCCGAGCGTCCATCTTTTGGCCCAAAGACCGGGCTGCGCCTTGTTCTCGCGAAAGGCGTTTCAAGGCATGGCCTGGCGGCGACCCGCAGGCGGGACCTTGATGTGGAATGCCACGCCGCTCTTTTTTCAGATCACGAAAGGTTTTTGTGTATCATGTACGTATATAGGGTGGCCTGTCTTTTTTCCGGAGTTGGTACAAACCAAAAAACCCTCACCCCCTACCCCATTTTCGGGCCCCAAACAAAGACATTCATATGAACACCTACACACATGTATACATTTTTAGTTATACTTACTGGCCTGGAAAAGCTTCACAGGCACACCCGAACCTGAGGTTCCATGTTTGTTGTTGGGATGGTATTAGTTCAACGAGGCAACATCTTGTTTAGCTTCACGTGTCAAACCCGCAATCAAGAACATCCTGATTGCCAGAAAGGTATGCAACAAGCCCAAACCCACACAGCGTAACAACAACCACAAACCATGGCTGCGTGAAACATTGGAGGGGTATTTATTTTAGGTTTTGTTCGTTGTTTTTTTGATTTTCCGCTTTTTGGCTTCTTGGCTTCTTGGCTTCTTGGCTTTTCGGCTTCTTTGCTTCTTGGCTTTTTGGCTTCTCGGCTTCTTGGCTTTTCGGCTTCTTGTTGGTTTATGCGGCTTTTGGTGGCAATTTTGGCTTTGGCTTTTTGCATCCTCTGCATTCCCAGTTCCTCTTCGGCAGGTGGCGTTTTGGCTTGTGCGGCTTTTCGCTGGTTTATGCGGCTTTTGGCGGCTTTGGCTTTTCGCATCCTCTGCTTTCCCAGTTCCTCTCCGGGCGCTGTTGCGTTTGCACCCTTTCATTGGTTTTTTGGATTTGGCTTCCCGCATCATCAGCATGACCAGTTTTCTCCCTATTTGAATCATCACTTCTTCGAACATCATGGGCCCCCTACCCGCCTGCTACTTTTTAGATTGCTAGCAGAGTAATTACACCCCTATTTGAATCAACACGTCTTCAAACATCATGGTGGGCCTCCCCCCCAACCCCCCCCCCCCCGCTGCTTTTTAGATTTTGCACCCCTATTTGAAGCATCACTTTTTCGAGCGTCCAATTTCGCGAGAAAATTCTGTAAAATACGACATTTCAGGTAATCTATGTAATCCATGTATGTCTGTATGTATGCACTTCTTCGAACATCATAGGGGAAGCCACCCCCGCCAACCCTCCCGCTGCCTTTTAAATTCTATCGCACCCGTTCTTGAATCATTCCATCCCTACTTGAATCATCACTTCTTCGAACATCATGGGGGGGGCGGCCCCACCAACCCCCCCGCTAAGTTTTAGATTTTCCAGAGAGATTTAATTGCACCCCGGTTTGAATCATCACTTCTTAGAACATCATGGGGGGGGCTGCCGCCCCCCCCCCAACCCCCGCTACTTTTTAGACTTTTGGCAGAGCTATTCGAATCATAGCTTCTGTGAACATCATGGGGGGACAGGGATTGAAATGCCCTCCTATTTGAATCATCATCTTTTTCACCCGTCAACCCGCCAGCTACTTTTTTTGATTCTGTTACCCACGACCTGTTGGTGATGCTAGGGATGTTGGTCGGACATGCGGGGGATGTTGAAAACGATGCTGGGGATGTTGGCGGGCTAGTGTAAAATGCGTCAAATTTGCGAGAAAATGATGTAAAATACGACATTTTACTGGCCCGGACGAAAAAAGAAAAACATCCCAACCAATTCCGAAAAAATCCTAAAATAAATCCGCACCCTGAAACATTTCTCGTACATAAATATACAAGACAACCAGCTAACACCCACAACCCCAAACACCTCAAGCACGAGATGCATGCACATATTTAACCCCATTAAAAGGAAGGAAGCCAACCGGAACTAAGACGAATTTCCCTGGCAGCGCACTGGAAGGAAGCAAAAAAGGAAATTTTGGAGGGAACTTCCAAGAATCTTCATGGCGGCTAACTTCCCCAGGCGCGTTAAAAAATGCAACCGGCGTCAGGACCTGGAGGCTCAGGTCTCGAAGCTCACGGGCGAACAGGCGCAAGCCGAGGCCCAGGCCGCCGAGGCGACCGACCCACCGAGCGGACGAATCGAGCGGACGAACTGTGGGCGTGCGCCGTTTCTTTTTTGGGCGTGGGCGACCCCCAAAAAACCGGGGGTTTCCTCGTGTGGTTTTTTCGGGGGGGTGGGGGGGCGGTTTTTCTGTTCCGGGTGTTTTGTTCGAGCGACGGTTGTTTCCAACCCGGAAATGCGACGCTTTTGTTGGGTTTCCTTCGGGGTTCCCTCTTGCCCGTTTGGACGCTTTTTGGCTTGACATCTTAAGGGGGCCCCTAGTTTGAGAAACACAAATTTGACATGTTTTCCGGAATCAACCCTCTGGCGAACTCAGAGTTTCGACCCACGATCTTCGGCCCATTTTGGCAGCCATGGGGGTAACTGCGGTTAGTTGTCGTAAAGCCATTGGTATACCCTGGTTGCTCAGTGCGGGAAGCACGTGATCTGATTCGGCGCCAGCGATTTTTTTACTGGTCACGATTGTAACCCAAGTGGGAACATCCCAGTGCGCTAGTTGGTTGGACCTTGAGTTGTGATTTCTCCACATGGCCGGTGCCTTGGAATGATATTGGGATGTTCAACCTGTGTTCTTCTGAGAATGGGGAGCCTGTGCCTTGGAACAAAAACAATAATTATGTCGCTCGCTATGGAGGTTTCCTCCATGTCACACCATGTCCAAACATGAGCCTCCAAAAGTGGGAGTGTCAACGGAACTCACCAGCAAGTTGCAACTTAAGGGGGGACCCAGTGCCAAGTTCCCACGTCGCTTGGAGGTGCCAAGTGCGTAACCGCTCTCAAGGGTTTATAAATGCAACAAACAGGACCGCTCTCATGGGATTTGTTTCCGACAGCTTTCTTTTCGATTTCCCTGTGCAGACCACGCAACCGCGCGCGCGACGTTTGGACGATTTCCAAGCGCAGGCGTCGCGCCTTGGGGCCGAGGCGGCCGCGGAGTGCAACAAGCCATGGTCCCAATGCCGACCGTTTGATTCGTAAGACCCCCTGGTACTTCTTATGAATAGGGGGGGGTCCCGGATTCCCTACTTATTACGAAGGGGGGGGGTCTCATTTTAGTGAAGGACTCCTCTTCCAGTAGAACATGTTCGATTAATAACTGGAAAGTTTATTAATCAAGGGTCAACAATAGAGTGTGAGATGAACCTTCTTGGATTTGCTTAGCGGATGTAATGCCTCTTGATTCTTGGTGGTCAGGTGAGTCATCAAGGCCCGAATGGGAGGCAGTTCCAACCAAAAACATGGGGTGAAACCGTCCTTTTAATTCTTTCTCCGTAGCCCCTTGACGCAGTAATCAACCGGGCAGGTTATTGTGGACAGCATTTGTTTGGTGGTTGTTGTGCTGAGCTTACCTATTTATTTTGAGTAATTAAAACAAGCAAAAGCCCATGATTATGGTGCTTCTTGTGGGGGATGTTTTTTGGGGTTTAAAGTTATTGCAACATTGGCAGATATAGCGACCTTCCAAAGGGTTTGCAAGGTTGTGTGGGGCCCGGCACGGTTCTTTACATATTTGGGGGTCCATATTTTCTGTGCGTGGATAAAAGCAGACACTTTAACTTTTTGCAGGAATCGAACCGTTGATCCTTTTGTAGAAAGACTTCCCTACGAACGAGCAACAGTTTCACGTTTCTCGTTGGTTTGACCTTAGGCCTTTTAGTCTTTTCTAGAATGACTAGTTGGGTCGCCGCTTGCAAGGGGCCTCCGACACTTTCCCCAACAGGTTTGATTCACAATAATTTGGAACCAACATGGGTGGTTTTCCTTTCGATTTCCCTTCCGAAGCCACAAACAAGTGCCAAAAAAGGGGGAACCCTCAAACAAATGTTGCACCCAAAATGGGTGGTTTTCCTTTCGGTTTCCCTTCCGAAGCCACAAACAAGTGCCAAAAAAGGGGGAACCCTTAAACAAATGCACCCAAAATGGGTGGTGTTCCTTTTGGTTCTCCTCTTAATACAAACATGGGTACCCTCAAAAAAAACACTCCCCATTCCGAACGTGGCCATCCATCCTTCTGCGTGTGCCGGGCAAAAGCTCCCAAGGCTGCGAGTGGAAAACCAAGAGATCCGGGAGGCCCTGACCAAGATCACCTTGTCAGGAGCTCGGCGAGGGCCGAGTTTTTTTTCTCGATTTATGCCGACCAAAGGCTCACTATTTTGTGACAGCTCTTTGTTCTGTATCCTGAATCAAGTCACCAATCAAGGACAGATGGTTGGACATTGGAAATGACTGATTGCAATTTTAGAAGAGTATCTTGTTCCTGTACAGCTATTTTGTAGCAGAAGGCCTAAGCTTGGCCCCGCTGTGTTGGCTGGTTCAGACTGGAACCGCTCTGTTTGCCCAGGCGAGCTGTGCCTGGAGAGAATTTCTTGATGGTCTTCCCCCCCAATGTTAGTCACCCACGTTGCCGTGGAACCCACCGGAACGTGAAGGGCAAGTTATGTGGATGGCCAACGCTCATCTCCAATTGGCCGAGTCGCTGAATTTCACCGAGCGGAAACTGAAAGGCTGAAAGGGACGGGGAGGCCAACGTGCGCGTCCATGAAGGGGGTGGTTATGTGTGTACATATGCACCTCTGTGTATACATATATATATATACATATATATATATATACATATATAAATATGTCTTATGTATATATATATATATATAGGTCTGTATCCATGTATGTTTGTGTTTGTATACATTGGACCGCTATATATATATATATACAGGAGACACCAGGCGCTAGATTCTCCATAATGTATATTGATGTTTCATGAGTCTTTCCAAACCCCTGAGTTTGCCAGCATTGTCTAGAAATCATGTTCCACTTCCCAATCTGCAACCGGCGCCTCCACATTGATATTGGTTCCCAGCCGTCCACTTAGGTGTATTGGTTTTCAGGGCTTAGTGGTTGGGTGTCCATTTGACCCACAAGTTAAGCTTTGAGCTCAGAAACGACCATTCCAACAAGTTCGCCTGTCACCGTGGGACCAAGCGCCGCATGAGTTTTGGTCGTCCCACCTTCGAGTCGGTCGGGTGGGACCTTCCGACCCGGCCCAAGGTCGGAAAAGCGCCTCGCCAAGACCGTGGCCGAGATGACCGGTGCCGGGCTGAGCAAGTCACCTCCTTCTTTCAGGGAAACCAACTAGCAGGGATACAGGGGGAACCTGGGAAGTGGCGCCAATGGAATCCCCCCACAGCTCGCTCCCCCTGTATCCCCGCTTGTTTGTTTGTCCAATTCTTCCTCCGCGTTGGCTTTGAACATGATGGTATGATTGATATATTGCATAGGAATAACACCAGGGGGACTTAAATTAGATTAGATCCAAGGCAAGTTGTTTATGGTTTGCAAGATTTAGGTGGATGTAAAACCGGACCCTAACTTGCGACTTTGCAAGAAGGGGTATTAGGGCCAGGGAGGGGATTGTCAGGCTCATACTTCAGCCTCAGGAGCTTGACCCCTGAGATTGGGATTGCAGTGGTTTAAAAATGCCATGCTTCTTGCACGAGATGTATCCTCGAATAAAGCATGGACGCCTTTTCTTTCCAATAGTCCAGATTTCACAGGCCTTTGGTTCGGAGCAATTTACCAAAAGGGGTCAGAGGGTCAAACAGGTCCTGGCGTGTGGCTTTGACCTTAAACCTTCGAACCAGCTTGATCAGGTTCAACCGACTTGACCAGACTTCCAACATTCTGGCCACTTGCCAATGAAGTTTGAGCAACATTCACGCCAGTTGACCTGGTGAAAGGCTTTTTGTCTTTCTTTACCTTAGCTTGACCTGCCATATCGGGTGCCGGACGGCTTGTTCTTGTAGCCCGTGTACGTCTACGTGCAGCTTGCAGCTCGCTTTGTGGGAAAGGACCCCTCTTTTGCGGAGAGAACGCTCCGAGTGAAGACCTGCCTCACCGCTTCGCCCAGACCGGCAATCTTCGAGTGCCAGAAGGCAGGATTCGGACAAGAGCGAGGATGTGCCCGGTTTGCCTTAGGGCCTTAAGGATGTCTCCGTTGTGTTCGGTTGTTTTTTTGCGTGTTGGTATCTCTCAGGTTGGCCTTAGTTGGTGGTTTGGATTGGTGGTTAGGTCTTCGAGCCGAGTTTGGCACGCTCCCCCGAATTTTTGGGGTGGTTTTAGGGAACCTATTTTTGGGGTGTTTTACATGAAAACTAAAAGGAAACCCACACATTTTTTGGGGGGTCCCTATTTTGAAGCCAGCGTGGCTGAATGTGTCAAACCTTCTTGTCATTGTGGGTGGACGCTTCTGAAGGAGGGGGACACACCATGGCATCATGAAAAAGTGTTGGAAGATCTCAATCAACTCTGACACACATGTGTGTCCCATCTAAGAGGGAGTCCTTCATTTTTTGGGGAAACGTGTTTATCTATTCACCACGTCACCACGTCGACTCATCCGGGGTTGGCATTCGTGGCCCCCTGGGCGTCTATGGCCGCATCTTAAGCCCCTCAATGAGGTTACACCAAGCAGAACTTCAGGTGACAGAATCCTGGGCTCTGGCTACTTGAAGGGGAACCTCACTCGATATTCTCTTTAGGAGAGTCGGTTTTGCCCGTTACTTGGTTCCTTCAACATATCTGGTAGTCTATTCGTTTAGGAGGGACATGGTGGGGGACTTGCTACATTTCTCACAAACACCCCTGGCGACGTCTTCGTCTAATCGTCTCATTTCCATGGAGGGAATCGCATAGTTTGACCATGACCACATTGCAAGTTTTTCTTGTCCTTTCATTGACCTGTTATGGAGAATGCAGGTACAGATCTTGGATAAGTTTGGACCCCTGAACAACGTGTGGCTTTTCTTTGGCTTCCTTTGAAAAGTCACCTCCGAAATGGGGGTACCTACCCTCCAATAATGTCCAAGTTTCCTGTCCACTTCCGTGCCCATAGAATGGGCAATGTTGACTCCGGATTAGTAAACCCCTGTACATGAATGGGGGGGCGATTCAGACTTTGGAAGGGTTCCCCCCGCACCGCAGCAGGATGGGTTTATTACTCTGTGTTCAATACCCCCCCCCCAGTTCGCCCAAAGAGGTGGTGGTCCTTGGGGTGACACCTCGGCAGGTCCGCGAGCGAGGCAAAGGGCGCCCCAGCGCAGGATGCCAAATGCGGAGACACGCCCAAGGGGGTGTTTCTTGTTAGGTTGGTTTAACGAATATGGACAACCGGCCATTTGGTTTATAGGTGTTTCTTGGAGTTGGAACTCTTTTCAGTTTGGCTTAAAAGGAAAACGCATGGACAACCGACGCCATGTCCAAGGTCTCGAGTTTGACGCCATACACTTTCAGAGTTGGAACGACCTCAACAGTGGCGGACATGAATACCCAACTTCATGTCCAAGAGTCTTTCATCAAAAATGACACCCAGGTGTTTCTTCCCCCCCAGCACCCAGCACCGGTTTTTCACCGTCCGAAAACCTGCAATCAAATTTCACTTCAGGGGTAGATGGGAAGCCCGAAAACTAGCTCAAGGGGCTTCACACATGTGTTGATTCCCCGCCCTTGGGGCAGGAAGCTTGAGGGCCACTTTCTGATATATCAATGGAATCTCCTTTGAATTCACAAATTAGTCATATGGGATTCAACCAGGTTGGAAGACAAGCGTGAGTTACCTTCTGGGAGCGCCAGTGAGATTGCTTTTCGGATTGAATACATGCCCTTGAAGCATGTCTTAAATTACTTTGTGCAAGCCTGCCCAACCCATTCAGTGTAAGCTGTCCCTGCGGTGTCCTGAATCCTGCCAGATGCCGCCACGGATATGGATCCATCGGCAAATGGGTAACATCTCTTTGGCAAGTCCTTTGAGTTGGAACCGTTTTACACATGGAATGGTGGTATCGTTTTTCAGTGGGCTGAATATTTAAGTTAAACAACACTTCAGAGGGTTTGATCCAGGAGCTGAAAGAGCTGCTGTCGCAGCATGAGGCGCTGCAGGCGTGGGAGTTTCTTCCCATCGATACCCGGGTCCGGAATTCAAAGGTCTGGGCCGTTTTTTCGGGAAAGGGGAGGGAGGAAAGCTTGCCCCAAGCGAATCGACCTTTTGGGTTTCCCCAAGTGGGGCCCATTCTTAGTCAAGCTCCCAAAAAGTGATCGCCTTCTATTTCTGGGAATGAATTTCAGGTCCATTCACCTCAGCGAAAGGTGAGTGGTGATTTGTCTTTCATGGCGTCTGGTCACGTCTCTGTGATTCTTCATGTCGGACATGTGGCCATTGCGATGTATTTATTGTAAGATGGCTTCCACTACCAACAAAAAACACCCCCAATGGGGTATACAACCACAATATAACCACAAGCTTCGCAACTGCACCCCTTGGATCAGGACAGTTAAGAAGGTTGCGTCCAGAGTCTTTCCTGTTTTGTCTTGGGGGGTGCAAAACCCTGCCCTGGTAGCAACTCCCTGCGCTCAAGCAAGGGGTTCAGGCTTGCCTGACAGATGTGTCGAGCGCTCGACCGGAAACCGAGTTTGCCAAGGGGAACCATCCCTGCTTCTCCTTCCACTTAGCTTCCGTTCCGAAAGGCATGTGTCTGAAAATTTTCGCGGAGCCCGTGAGCACTTGTCCGACCCCCCGTGGACAACTATCCCTTTCAAGCAAGACACCAAGAGTACCAGAAACAGATAGCAACCACGCCCAAGTTTCAAGAAACTGTGCAAATTGAAACACAAACTGACAGGGTTCCTCGTTCAAGGTTGGCGAATTCTCCGTTGACGGGACCAAAAAGGCGGCGAACAAGTTGAACTTCCATGTTGTAGGCGGTGACTGGCTCATGGCTCAGTCATTCGCCGAGAGTTCTCTAGGCGGAGCATGAGAAGTGCCTCAAGTCTCTGGACGATTTGCGGGGTGAGCGTGGGGTACTCAGAGTGAAGCCAGCGCTTGGCTTGGGATTGACACTCAAACCGCGTCCAAGTGGGCCTGGAGCTGGAATCCCCAAAAACCGATCTGTTTTTAAGAGGACCTGGTTCTCGTATTCCATGTCAATGTTAAAAATGGAGAGGAGCAGTTTGTTGTGGCCAATATGAACCTTTCCCATGTTAGATCAGGTTTTCGGCGCCGGCAGTTCTGCCCAGTTAAAAGGGATGTAGTAACCCTGGTTGTAACCGAGTCGCTCGCTTCTCTCCGGCCTAGCTGGACCTGAAAGCCAAGTAGTTCAGCTTCACCATGTTTCGTGGCTGGGTTTTCAGCTTTTCCAACCCATGCTCTTTGGTGTTGATGGCGTGTTTTGGCGGTTTACCAAAATCGTAGACCCTCTCACAGGGGTTACTTTTTGATGGCCTTTTAAAGACGTCCAAGAGGGCCCGATTTTTCCGAAAAACACGCATGTGATTGTCCGAAAGCAACAGCAAGCTCTATCAACAGGAAGCCTTCAGGCATCCTGAACCAGCAATAGTGTGATGGCTGCAATGGCAATACCCCCAAAAGCACCAACTAGTATCAAACACACCATTTTACCAATACTTGCCAAGCATACCAAACAAGCAACAATACTTACTTACTCCAAACACATCATATCGATGGTTACTAAAGTCTAAGCAATATCTTTTTCACAAAAAAAAACTGCCCAATTTTTACTTGTTGGCTGTACCACTCATTGCCCCAAGTACCCATACGATTTTTCACCAAGCACCGATATCTCATCTCACGAAATCGGAGTGCCGCTAGGAGCGGAGCTGCAGTCGCTGAAGCAGACCTGCCTGGGACCTGAACACTGGGCGTGAGGTAGCCTCCCTTGGTGCTCAGTGGGCAGGGAATGACCCGGAACCGGGTTTTTGGGAGCAATGGATTCGAATCCCTAAGAAAACCAATTGGAGGGATGGTTTAATTGTAGGGGTCATTCCGTTTCTCATTCCCTGCTGAGAACCAGAAAGTTCTTGAGTTCGTGGACTTTCATCACTGTTTGGAAAAAACAGTTTGGTGGTAAACAGAGAGTTCGGACTTTCTTTGGCTAATCCACTCAGCAAGTGCGTGGGGCATTTTTAGGTGGGTTGTGAGGGGAGATGAGAAATTCAAGAAGGGGTTTTGAGCCAGTATATTGTCCTGGTATCAGTGGTAGTTTCACCTCCACATCTCAAACCTGAAATTGCCTTTGAACTGTACCCATTGTGCCATACTCAAACCACCCCGGTACTTCCGGTTTGTAGAAACAGCTACAGGGAATTTAGACCAGGGTGTATCGTTTTTGGGCACCCCACCTTTTGGTTGATTTTACAGAGAAATCAAAAGGAAAGCGCCAGTTTTGCAGGTCCCCTAACGGAGTGTTGACCTCACAACCTGAGGCACTCTGCTGCGGCGCGAAGCGGACCAGGCCAGACTTCATCGAGTTGATTTGCCCAAGGCTCTGAATTAGCAACGAGTCAGGTTTTGATTTCGGAATCCCCGCAGATCCGGAGTCTGATGCCCCAGAAGTTGTTGTGTTTCGGGGCAGTTGGCCAGTTCTGATGGGTGCCTTTGGGTTCTTTTGGGATCATGATCTTGACTGTTCCTGAGGGTTATCAAGGTTTATCCTACCACCGAACGGGCTTGACTATGGTCAAATGGAGCCTCCCCCAAACCCGGGGAACGCGTTCTTTTTTCTTTTTTTGGCTTAGCACCTTTGTGGCTTACACAAGAAAAATCCCTTTCTGGCTAACTATGTTGTGCCTGTATATTCCATGAACAACCGGAAGGTGTCTGACCCGAGCAGAAAACGGAGTTTTGAGCGGCTATGTTGGATACCCTCCCAAACATATATGACATTTTTGACGTCACATGGAGCCTGACAGGGGGCTGACAGCAAGGAGGGGACAAAATTCAAAATCCGGGAGCGTTTCCCATCCTTGGGGTAAAACATAACTCTGGGGTCATTAAAAATGACGGTTTCTGGTGATCAAAGTCAGAAAATGGAATCGGTTATTCCCTTTAACCCAGCACTGAACGGGGCGACTTTGATCATGGCAAAATGGGTGCGGGTCAAAAATAGGGGGCCCAACATGGGTTGCCCCAAAGGAACCAAGGATTTAAACCTGCGTTCCACCTCCTGGTGGTTTCATTTTGACCCATAGCCAAATGGGGTGGTCTTTTTCGGTAGTCCCACAAGATGGCCACGGTTTCCTGTTGGTTTCCCTTCAAAACCACTTGAGGTCTTTTTTGGGGGGTCTTTGGTACCAAACAAGGGTCAAATTGGTATGGGTCAAAATGAAACCACTAGGAATTGGACCGCAGGTTTTAGTCCATGTTTCCATTTACCAGGGCAACCCATTTTGGGGTCACCCTACTTTTGACCACCACAGCCCAAGAACGAGGAGTTCCAGTCGCTGAACCTGAGACGAAAACTTTCCGCAGGCCAGGGCCAAGCTGGCGGTGGAGGTGGCCGGGAAGGCGGCCGCGGCCGGGAAGCCCCAGAAACGGAGGCGCGAGGCGCCCCAGGCGGTG